GGGAATCTGTTCCCTTTGTCCCCAAATCCCGCCATTGGGACCACCGGGTTTCCCAAACTAGCTGCCAGGGGTCTTCTTCCCAGGAGAAAAGCCCACCCGCGGGAAAAGATCCGGTATCTTTATCCCTGCGTGCACCAAAAAGCCTGCCAAACTCGCCAGTGCCCCAAAAGTGTCCACACCAACCTCAGGGACCCTCACAATGACCCCTGTCGTGAACTGTCTCTGTTCACGGGGTCCCTGTGTGGAAACCAAGCAAGGGAAGCATCTCTTTTTGGGATATGAATGCTCAATAATTACTTCCCTTGCAGTTTCACTTATGTTGCGAGTGCGAACATTCCAATTGATTGGTGTGAACATTCTAATGAGACACTGGGAAGGCCCTCGTTCGGGAAATAAACGAGCCTGGAAACAATCTACGAAAGCTCCCCCTGGCTTCCGTTCATCTACACGAATGGCAGCCAGCCAGAAGAGAATTCAATAATTGTGACCAATGCGGTTTGAAACTATGTTGCGAGGTGTGAAGTTATAAAGTTATAAACTAACATTCTAAATTTGGCTATCATGGTGGTCCCCGTTCGGGAGGTGAATGAATTCCCTTCATGGGAGCACTCCTGAATGGGGAGCGGGCAGAAGATACAATAAAGGGTGGAAATACACATAATATCAGACAGGCAATTCACGGACCTACAGGGGTCTCGCCACAAGCACGACCAGCTATAAACTCCTGATGCAATGGTACAGGACCCCTAATGTTCTTCATCAAATTAATGATATTCCAGCAACATGGAAATGCGGCATGGATATGGGAACCTGGCTACACATATGGTGGACCATGCCCCCAAATTGCAAATAAAAGGTAAATCACGCACACAAAGTGTATATAATGTATCAATATACCATCTATTGTAGATATCCACTGTACAATTGACATCTGTAAAACAAATGAGGCATACATAGTGCTCTTCGTAAAATGTAAATAACCAAAATGTTAAATATGTAGAGTACACTCACAAAGGTGGAGCTGTGTCAGGCTCTACGTATAAATCTTCCCCAATTACTCATTCTTCAGCTTTTTCCATTTAGTACACCATATTTTATTTCTATTTAACTTAGGTCTTCATCCGCTTTTAAAATTTGCCAATGTTTGTCAATTATATGTTTAATTTGTTTAGAATTTTCATTAGAATCTTAAACAATCAGTACATATCTGTCCTCCATTTGTAATATCTTTTTTATTTTTGTATTTAAGAGCATTATTTCTCTCAAGACATTTCACCTGTAACATCAGTTTTTTGGTTTTTTTTAACGGTAAAATTATATATTTTTTCTTTAAAATAGGAGGTTCAAATATTTGCTTGAGTGTCAAATTGATGCGGATGTGTGCAATTTCTTAATAATCTTATGTATTGTCCTTTAGGCATATTGTAAATACAAGGTGCTTAGTGACAGCTGGTTGTGTCAATATAACTATTGACATCAACCAGTTTAAAAAAAGTTTTGGTTTTAATATTAAAATCCTCTACATAAATTACTAAATCTAAAAAGTTCACTTGGGTTTTACTGTGTTCACTAGTTATGGTGATTTTCCTCGTGTTGTCATTTAAAAATCCTAAAAACAGTTTAAGACATTGTTCTTCCACCTTCCAAATAAAAAACATATCATCTATATATCTGCGATAGAGGACCAAGTTCGCACTCCAAGAATTATCCCCGAGAGAATAATTTCTCCCAGAAGGACATAGATAAATTTGCGAAGTTTGGTGCGAACTTGGTCCCCATTGTAATCCCAACTAACTGTAAAAAATATGAACCCTCAAAACAGAAAAAGTTGTTCTGTAAAATAAGTTTGATACCCTCCAAAATAAAATCTTTGGGACGAACTGCTTTGTAAAAAATATTCCACTGATTCACATCCTAAGTCATGTAATATAATTGTGTACAGACTATTCACATCATATGTTACTAAGATACAATCATCTTCCCATGTTAATCCTTGTATTTCTCTAATTAATTGGGAAGAGTCCTTTAGATAAGTGGGTTGGGATGTTACCACAGGTTGTAATAGTCTTTCAATATATTGAGATAACTGACTCAGGAGGGAATTTACTCTGATAACTATCGGCCTACCTGGAGGGTTCTTTTTTGTCCTTATGAATTTTAGGAAGGGTATAAAACACAGGTATTTTGGGGACTTTAATATCTAAAAAATCATATTAAAGATTTTCAATGACCTGCCTTTTTCAATCAGCTTTGAATATTGAATTTTATTTTGCTCTGTTGGATTTCTTGGCAATTTTAAATACGTGTTAGAGTCTCCTAATTGTCTGTTTATCTCTTGTATGTAGTCTTCCCTGTTTTGTATCACTATAGCCCCCCACCTTATAGGCAGGTTTGATAATAATATGGTCATCTTTACTTAATTCCATAAGGGCCTTTCTTTTGGCTGGTCTGAGGTTATTTTTAAAGTTTCTCTTTTTTGGGAATTTTCTTAATCTCTTCCATTACTAATCTTTCAAAAACCTGCATAGCCCCACTGGAGTGATACTTGGGCAAGAATTTAGATTTATTTTTCAATTTAGTATGTTCAAAATTATCGCCATTATTGAAATCCTCCTTCAAATTTTGAGGGTGTTTTTAAAAAAAAAATTTAAACATAATTTACGGTTACATTTCTGTAGTTCAATAAAAGTGTTAAAAGAGTCATTAAAACAGGGGGGGAGGGGGAATTTAAGTCCCTTACTTAAAACACCTAATCTAGACAAAAAATAATGGAGGTTTAGTTACATTATATGATCATACATTGCATACAAGCCTGCCACAACGCCAATGTACCCCCCAGGTCCTACTCTGTCTGCTAAATGAGCTACTCACTTGGGGAAATCCTTCCATCTCGAGTTCTCTGCAGTAGTGGGTACCATGTTGTGCAACACCATCCCTAACCCCCCTTCCCCCCCCCCCCACACCTATTCTATCCACTCTCTTTCCAATAGAAACCTACATACTTTCGGTACAAAATAGGCAACAGCTTTATTTGCAATTGAGCAAATATTGTTAACCATAATTTAACATATAGTATTAAACGTAAACTCGTCCTTGCCAATTCGTCCCACCACTAATCATGAATCCTTCTGGGGCCTGCCCTATCACCACCAACTGGCCTCTAACTTGGTCTTACCATACCACAATGCTAACCACAAGCCAGCCTTGTCTCAGTGGGCAAGTCTGTTTATCAAAAGCATGTACCAGAGGTTAGGGGGAGGGATTAGCCCCGTACTCGATTTTCTCTTTCACAGGGTAAGCACAACCTCTCTTTTCTCTGTCTCACAGGCCAAGATAACCTTTGCATAGTTTAGTGAAGACGTGCTAGACATGCACAGTAGATTTCCTGTAATACGTAATGTTATATGCATAATTATACTTTTTGCACTGAACGTCTATGATTGGTTGATTTTGTCTTCTGTTGGATACACCCCTATGAAAACTGTGTTTGTTTCTGTCAGGTTATATCTGCCGGTTTCGCCGAATTAAGCGACTTCCGGGTTGACGGAGCTCTGCCCTGCCCCTTCTCTGACGCGGTCTCCTCACGCTACATAGGAAGACCGCGCCAGATTCAAAGTTGCTGGATTATTGAACGAGTTCCTGTGAACCTCTTACCGGGTACCCAATTTCATTTGAAGCTTCTCCGTGTACCAAAACCGCTCTGAAAACGACTACCCTCCTTCTCCACTCCTCGACCTCGGGTTGTTAAACGGACTTCTGCTCCTACCCCTAAGGAACTGCTTAATTTGAACTCTCCAGTTTCCTGGAAACTGCTTCTTAAGCTAAGTACTTTTTCCTTCAATCCAATTTGCTCTCAGTTGCAAATAATAAGCTGCCTCATTGTTAAACACTCTTGAAGCTAATTCTACTGCATTTAATTCAACCTAATTCTGCATGCATTCTCTGCACTATCCTTAATTGGGACTGCTTGGCTTATGCAAAACTTCAGTGGCTTATTTTTTTCCTGCAACTAACAACCTGCTATAAGGGCTTAAAGCTACAGTAACCACTCCTGCAATTCAATAACAAAAAAGAATACAATTATAAATTGAAGTATTTAAAAGTTTTTCTGCAGTTGCGTTCCAGTAGTTTAGCATTACAGTTTCATATATACGCGGTACCCACATTTAAAAAAAAAAACCACTTCTTTCTTAAACTTCATAATGACTGGTCTGCTTTAATTGTACATTTTAATTGTTCTCTGCAAAGATTAAGGAAAGCAGGATGTGTTACCAGCATAAGTCCATGGCAGCGTAAGGGTCACCGACCCTGTAAATTTTGAAACCTAACAGAAATAAAACAGCAAATTTAGAGAGTAAGGATTAGCAATAATAGTGTAAAGCAGTAAATAGAACTAATATAAAAACAATCAAAGATATCTATGTAACGATAAAAAAGATCTCTATGAGGGGCGGGGCCGGATCGCCGAGCTGGATGGCAACATGCACGGTGAGCTCCTGCAAGCCATCAAACTCTAAGCTTTGAAACTATGATTTCCAGTACCAGAACCAACCACCAGCGACGGTCCACAGAGTTAAAGGAACACTGGATCCAGGGTGAGGCTGGCTTATCGAACTGCAGTCCCCTGAAGGAGAGGGCACTGATGCCCCAATCAAGGCCTAATCCTTGTTGCGGGGGGCAGACGGCCGCTGACCCACTATCCTGCCTAACAGAAACCAGCCTGGGGCCCAAACTAGTGTGGACCAGGCCCTGTCCCCCCCCTCTGGACCGGTGGGGGTGATCCCGGTCCTCACCCTAAGGCCCTGACAAAGACATGGCGGCTGAAGCTAGGGGGCCTAACAGCCATGCCCAAGATGGCGGATGCCATGTGCACAGGAGACATGGGGAGAAACAGCTCACTCCCTGCGCTCACAGCCGACACTGCAACCCCTGCCTCCAGACCCTACCATACAGGGAAGTGGGATTACCTTTAACCACTAACACAGCCACTCAAGTCAGCGATGTCAGCGGCTGCCCTGGGGGGATGGGGCTACACAGCAGACCGGCCGTTGCTGTATGGAGGGACCGAGTCTACCAACAAGCGTGTCACCTCAGCTGCGAGACAGGCCTCCTACTCGCCTCCCACTCGGCCTGCAACAGCACGACCCCTGCAGCGGCAGCCGTGTGTGGATGACGCTGGACCCCCCATCGCAGCTGACACCGGCCCCCATGGGACCAAGCGGGACAAGCACTCTGTACCACGGTTGCAACCCCAGGGAAGCCGGCGAACGGCTTAGAGAGCGGCAGGGCTGGACTGTGTTTTGCTGCTGGCTCTGGTGAACACTCACCCACTGCTGCATGAAACAGACAGAGCAGGTATTGGATAGCAGCGGAACTCCCCCTGTATTTGAGGTCTCAGCAACACCACAACGACGGCTCCTCACTGAGGCAGTACTGGTAGTTCCTAACGGCTGGGCTGAAAACGGCATTAAATGACCACTATAGTGCCAGGAAAACATACTCATTTTCCTGGCACTATAGTGCCCTGAGGGTGCCCCCACCCTCAGGGTCCCCCTCCAGCCCGGCTCTGGGGAGAGGAAGGGGTTAAACACTTACCTTTCTCCAGCGCCGGGCGGGGAGCTGTACTCCTCCTCTCCTCCTTGCTCGCGACGTCATCGGCTGAATGCTTTCCTATGGACGCTTGAGTGCTCTCACTGTGATTTTCACAGTGAGAAGCACGCAAGCGCCTTTAGCGGCTGTCAATGAGACAGCCACTAGAGGCTCTGGAGGCTGGATTAACCCTCAGTATAAACATAGCAGTTTCAGAGAAACTGCTATATTTATAAAAAAAAGGGTTAATCCTAGAGGTACCTGGCACCCAGACCACTTCATAAAGCTGAAGTGGTCTGGGTGCCTAGAGTGGTCCTTTAAAGCGACATCACAAGACCTAGCCTGAATACCAATTATAACCAAACTACACTAGCCTGTTTGTAAAGCTACTGCTATATATATGCATCAAGCAACCTTTCATGTCTAGCAAGTATTTTGTGCATAAACTTAATCTTGGTAAAGCGAATAGATATGTATGCTTAGCTTAATCAGTTATGCAAATCATCACTATATCATTTTCTTGTCTTTCTCATATCTCAAACTTGTTTTAAAAAAAAAAAAAGTGCAGCATCTCTTGACTACCCATACCAACTGTTTATGATGATCTCATGTGTTGAACAAGTCAGTGTTTATGCCTGTAATTAACTCTGCACTCAAAAATAAAGAATTAAAAAAACAAAAAAAAGATCTCTATGGTAAGGATGGTAAATAAGATAAATAGACAGCTCTGATAAAATTAGATAAAATTTAATAAATCAAATTAGGCGTTAGGACTAGTGATGTCCCGAACGGTTCGCTGAATGGTTCTCCACGGATGACGAACATATGCGGTAAACTTTGACCCTGTACCTCACAGTCAGCAGACACATTCCAGCCAATCAGCAGCAGACCCTCCCTCCCAGACCCTCCCTCCTCCTGGACAGCATCCATTGTGAAGCTGCATTCTTAGTGAGCTGTCCAGGAGGTGGGAGGGTCTGGGAGGGAGGGTCTGCTGCTGATTGGCTGGAATGTGTCTGCTGACTGTGAGGTACAGGGTCAAAGTTTACCGCATATATTCGCCCTCCGTGGCGAACCGTTCGGGACATCACTAGTTAAGACCATTAGGGGCTAACTTTTTTAACCCCTTAAGGACACATGACGGAAATATTCCGTCATGATTCCCTTTTATTCCAGAAGTTGTGTCCTTAAGGGGTTAAGTTAAAAACCCACTCCATTTCACTTTTGCCCAAAATGTTCTTTTTATTGCCACCTCTCCACGGAATTTTACATTTACATACCGATACATTTTAGTAATTTAGGATTTTTATTATGTATGAGAAAGTGCTTGGAAACTGAGTGGTTTGGGTAGCCCTTAATAATGTTTCGGCAATGTTCTCCATGTCTTATTTTAAGGCTTTTTGAAGTCATTCCCACATATTGGAGGCCATAAGAATTCCATATCCCTATTACTCTTAGTATAAAAAAAATAATTTCCTTTTCCATAGACTATATCTCTTTTCTTCCAGACTAAATGGGTTATGTTGTGTCCTATGTGCACTAATCAGCTACATATGAGGTGAAATAAATAACATTGATTATATTGTTATAATAGCACCAGTCAAATGATGGGATATATTAGGCAGCAAGTAACTAGTCAGTTCTTCAATTCCATGTGTTAGAAGCAGGAACAATGGGCAAGCAAAAGGTCTGACAAGGGCAACATAGTGATGACTTGATGACTTGGTCAGAGCATCACCAAAATGACAAGTTTTGCGAGTGTTTCCAGTATGCAGTGGTTAGTACTTAAAAGTGGTGCAAGAAAGGACAAATGGAAACTGGCATCAGGGTGCAAAAGGCATGTGGGGATCAAAGGCTATTCCGTCTGGTCCAATCACACACTACTGTAGCTCAAATTGCTAAAAAACTTAATGCAGGCCATAATAGAAAAGTGTCAGAACAAACAGTGCATCACAGTTTGCAGCATGCTGGGCTGTGTACCATGTGGCTCTCAGGTCTAGCTCTCTTGCTTTAGCCCAGGGCTAGAAGAATCCAAAAAGCCTTGAAGACACAGTCACTGGGATCCCTACAAATCCACACAGGATCCAAAAGGAACTGACATCCAAACGTTTATTTTTCTTGGGACTAGCCCATATGATTATTATATAAAGATTGCTGTGACAATTAAATAAAAATACAAACAGTCAAATGATAGCAGATCACATACAGCAACTTATTATAACACAATAACATATTCATAAAGGGGTGGGGAAGACAATAATTAACCGAAAATATCTCTCCTGCCTGCAGAATTAGCAATATGCAAATCTACCCGAATATGTAAATAAACCAGCCTTGCTATTCAGGTAGTGCATGTTGCTGTTGCTACCAACAGAGGGCACTACACCGGCTCCATAGCCAAATCCATTTAGTTGGTAGCAATCCTCAGCAGTACAGGGGAAAAGGCAAATCATTTAACAGTATAAACACACACATAATAAGCAATTACATTACACACACCTTGCACCTATAATGGGTACAGGGTGACTAAAAAATAAGAGAAGTCCAGCAATCTACATAAATAGTCTGTCTGAAGATCCAGGTGATGGTGACAACCATCAGAAATCCCCTCATATTCTAGTTTGCAAGCATGCTCAAGGATCTCAGCACTTACGCAATCTCTGGATCCTCAGGGCTCAAGTGTCCACTAGGTACCTAGTACTAAGGGTATTCTAGAGTCCTTATACTTAGTTATAGTAAAGGTTTTCTAAAGGGCCCATGATATTGTTGCAGAAGTAAGGTCCAGGTCCATAGTTCTGTTCCTGTGACAGTCTAAAAAAATTCCACAGCACCTAAGTGTTATCCAGGTCCCTGAGGAGAAGGGTCTTATAGGCTCTGTATGCCAACAGATCTTGAAAGGATCTTACAGACTACATGATCTTGTTCCTTAGGAATGGGTGGAGTTCACTTTATCACATGGGATCCATGGTCTTATGTCTGTTCTCAAAGGTTCAGGGTTCCCTAAGACTCCAGTGACTAAAGGTCCTGCTGGTCATCAGCAGTCTAGAGTGTTCTAAAAAGTGCAGGTTTCTTGTCTCATTGCATTGCAGGGGCATGATGTATGCACCCAAACCACTTATTTACCTAAAGTTGGTTTTGTATTAAGAGTGTCCCTATGTTGCTCATGAATGAGTATTCAAGGATCCAAAGTTCAGTTGTCCACATATGGTCCATGGTCTTGGTTCTCATGTTGTTCTCAAAGGTTCAGTGTTCCATGAGCCTCTGGTGTCCAACTGTTCTACAGGTCACTGGTGCCAAGGCACCCCATGGGTCACCGGCATTCAGGCATTTCTAAAAGGTTCAGGGATCTTAAGGCCCAAAAAGCATCAGAATTCCATCACTTAGATAGCCTTACAAGTCCCTAGTGCCTAACATTATTATTATTATTTTATTATTTATATAGCACCAGCAAATTCCGTATCACTGTACAATGGGTGGACTGACACGTAATTGTAACCAGACAAATGGACGCACAGGAACAGGAGGGGTTGAGGGCCCTGCTGAATGAGCTTACATGCTAGAGGGAGTAGTGACACAAAGGGTGTAAGTAGGGGTAATGAAAAAGGTTGCTAGAAAAGTTGCTAGAAAAGTATTCACTGAGAACTGAGGTTATTTTTGACAGTTGCATGAGAGGAGTCATGGGGGAGGTAGGGAATGAAAACTTGCTTAAATGGTATGCTTTCCTGAAGATGTGTGTTTTCAAAGATTTTTTGTGGAAGATTGGGTGAAAGTCTAACGGAGAAAGGAGTTCCACAGAAAAGGTGCAGCCCTGGAGAATCCAACATGCTTCCAGAGCTTAAGCGTCTCTAGCACAATGGGCCTTCTAGAGTCCATGCACATGAATATACTGAAAGTCTTCTAAAGATCTTGTTGCTTATTCATGGTATTCTGTCACAGTCTTCTAAAAAGCACCAGAATTTCTTGTGTCTAGACACACCCTAAATCTCTGGTGCCCAGGTGTACTCATGTTACTGACTATTAGACGTCCATCTTGTGTACAGGGGCATTACAGGTATTCATAAACATTCAAAAGCTTGTCACTGAAGTAACATCAAGGTTAATGGCTCTTTTGCCACAGCGATCAAAAAAGGTAAACTGTTCCTGGTTTCTAGACAACAATTTTCTGTACTTACTGTAATTTACTTTATCGGTACTTAGGAATGATGTGAGTCCGCAGTGCTCACATTCCTAGGATTCCAGCACAAAAGTTTCCACCTGGACCCTGGTGCCCAGGCTTCCCTTTGGTCACTGAGGTAAGGGGTCTCCTATGTTTCTTTTGCCTAAGATTTTTGAAGGATGATTCTGTCTTTTATGCAATTTGGTACTCAAGGTTCAATAGTTCAGTTGTCCACATGTTGTTTATAATCCTATTCTCATGGTGTTCACAAAGTGTCAGGGTTATTGGCTGATAATGTCTGAATTCCAGCACCCAGGCATCCTTACAGGTCTCTGTCACCTAGATATCCAATGGGTTCCCTGCGCCCAAGCAACCTCCAAGTTCTCGGCACGTAGGTATCCTCCAGGTCCCGGGGCCTAAGCATCCTGACTAGTGATGTCGCGAACCCGAAATTTTCGGTTCGCGAACGGCGAACGCGAACTTCCGCAAATGTTCGCGAACCGGCGAACCGCCCGAAACGCCATTGACTTCAATGGGGAGGCGAATTTTAAAACACACAGGGACTCTTTCTGGCCACAATAGGGATGGAAAAGTTGTTTCAAGGGGACTAACACCTGGACTGTGGCATGCCGGAGGGGGATCCATGGCAAAACTCCCATGGAAAATTACACAGTTGATACAGAGTCTGGTTTTAATCCATAAAGGGCAGAAATCACCTAACATTCCTAAATCACAATCAATATGGATTGACACCTGACATATGACATATTGACACCTTGACATATGGATTGACACCTGTCCTCAGAGCCCCTGATGCACACGGACACAGAGCAGAATAGAGACTGGTCCCCCTACATAGGGTCACTTGGCAGATATGGATTGACACCTGTCCTAAGGATCCCTGATACACACTGACACAGAGCAGAATAGGGACTGTTCCCCCTACATCGGGTCACTTGGCAGATATGGATTGACACCTGTCCTAAGGTTCCCTGATACACACTGACACAGAGCAGAATAGGGACTGGTCCCCCTACATCGGGTCACTTGGCAGATATGGATTGACACCTTGTTACAAACTGCTATTTGTAACGGGCCCTTTAAATGGCAAATTGCCCTACTTGCCAGCCTCCTCCCGCATGACTATGGCCCCTGGGAGATTGTGAAAATGTATGCACTTTTATTTGGTGTGTATGGCCCTTTAAGACTGTCGGTGGGCATATTGGGGCTTATGGACTCTTTATGTGACTGGTGCTGGCCCTTTAAACCCTTTTTTTCAGGAAGATTGGGACACTGCCCCTTTAAGGCCGTGTCCCCAGACTTGTTGGGGACACGGCCCCTTTAAGACGGTGTCCCCTGTGTCCCCAGACCTGGTGCAAACCCTTTGTGCCTGCCTTGCTATTTTCCCACTTGGTTCAGTAAATGGGAAATTATTTCAGCTGCAGAGACTAAGTCCCATTCGGCGATGGGACTTAGTCTTTTTCAGCCGCTTTTTTCAGCCTTATTTCAGTTGCAGAGACTAAGTCCCATTCCCATTCGCGATGGGACTTAGTCGTTTTTTCAGTCCCATTCGCATGGGACTTAGTCTTTTTCAGTGCCGTTTTCAGCCTTATAGTAT